ACTCTGCTCTAGGCAGGTCTAAAATGTATTTATAAACAGAAAGCCTCTATCTTGCTTGTTCTGATCGACAGAGCCATCTAATTTTTGGTTCAAATGAACTGTGGAACTTCTGGGTACCAACCCTTTGGAAGCTTCCAAGTAAAATTTCTGATTTCTTATGAGGGAGTTGGACTTTAAATAAAAAATAACAACACTATCGGATACCACTGTGGAAATAAGTATAATTCACAATACAATTGGTCCTGGTTGGGATCTGGTACAGGGATGCTGCAGTCTACCCTAAAGCTGCTTTGTGTTCAAGTGAGGTGCCTGCCTTTCCCCCTTAAGGCCATCTGAGCACTACCTGCGTGTCACAGGGGAACGGAAAGACAGATGCTCTATCTGCGGGAAGCCAAAGCTATCAGAAGGCAGATAGGCAAGGTGCCCACAATGAAACTGAACCTCAAGGGTTTTGAAAGCTTGATGGCTAGAACCCAGAAAAAACTAACCTCAAAGCAACATGCAGTTTTCTATCTCAGGGGTCTTGAGTGCTCCTTTGGGGGCAGAAATTGCTGCTTTGTTCTGAGAGAGTCACCTGAGTGGGCCCTGGCAGCATTCCTTGATGGGGGCTCTTTGGCATCTTAGTAGAGATGAATCTTGGCTGTGTGGCCCTGTCTTGGATTTTACGGGGCGTTGAGCATGCCTGGCTCTGGCTCAGTAAATGCCTCCAGTCACTGCGACAACCAGAAGTGCCCCCACCCATTTCCAAACACATCTTATGGAGGTAGTCCCCATCTATCAGAGACCCCCAAGTGAGGCATGCCAGGTCTTTGTACTCCCACGGACCCTGGGGAAGCTTGGCACCATTTGCCTGGGAGACCAGGTGCTGTGTTTGGTAACTGTGGGACATGTGGAGTTAGAACTATGTCCCCGTAGACTTTGTTTTTAATGTTCTCTGCTCTGTATGTAATAGGGTGGGACCATGCCTGAGAAGTAGCTTGAGAGGTTTGTGCGTTGCTATTTTGAACGTTGTGCCTGGAATATACTAAATGAAGACGAGGAAGACCACGGGGAGACCTGCAGTCAGGAGTCACCTCTCTGTGGAAAGGGGAGACAGGGAAACGGAGTTAGGCCAAGCCTGGAAGGGCAGCTCCACAGGAACCCGGTCTGTTCTCCCCCAGCATTATTGAGTCTGAGAGTCCCCAAAGAAAGGTGCGAAGGTCAGACTGTTTCTGTGGGCTTGCCCTGTTGAGAGCCATGGAGCAAGAGGCATCTCTGTGGGTGGGGTGGGGCTTCCCTAGAACGAACTGGACCTTCCCAGGGCCCATCATCCTGGGAGAGGCTAATTTTGGGAAAAGACATAAACACTGCGGAAGCGGGCCTCAGGGCAGGGCCTCTGGGGCAGACAGGTTTGTGTGTCGCAGATGGCAGGGCTGCGTGGGTTCCTGACATGGGGGAAACTAGTAGGTCCTGCCAGTAATCTTGACATCGGGTCTGGCCCATCGGTGCTGTGACAACAGCCACGCTCAGGCAGTTGTAGGTTACTCCCTGGTTTACAAGTCTTCATTCCTGAACCTCGGCAGTGGCAGCGAAAGCTGCGGCGTGGGCTCACTGCGCTAGGAGGAGCTAAGGCAAGGGCCGGCGGTGAGCTGGGGGAGAAGTGCTCCCTCCAAGTGCAGAGCGGTGGCGAGATCAGGGGGATGGAGAGCAGACCCAGGAGGGGGCAGTGAGAGGGCCTGGGGTCGTTCACAGGGTCCTGGCACACTGCAGCTGCTCGGGTAGCTGAAGGCTGAGAGGCACCGTCATCAAGGGCATCGGTGGAAATGTGAGCTGTTTAATCTTCACCACATGGCAGAGCCTGGAAATGTGACCTTCACAGGAATCAGCTCAGGTAAGAGGCCCAGACCAGCCACCTCCGGAATTGCTGGTCACTGCTGCCCTCCGCCTCTCAGGTACGTCTCACCTCGCCAGGCCTCCCCCGGCTCCTGTGGCACTTTGTACCTGACAGCCCCCTCTCCTCCCCCAGCCTGATTCATCGTTTCTTCATTTGTGCTGTTGAGCTTGAGGGCAGGGATCTCACTTTATCGATCGCTAGTTTTCCTCCCTCCCAAACCCTGCACGGCCCTGCATATAGACACGCATGAGAAATATTTCTTATGTGAGTGGGAGATTAAGGACGCTCAGTGACTGCCCCGTGTTTGTCCTTCTTTCTCATCGCTTTACGACACAGACACCACCATGCAGCTTGGGAATGTGAGAGAAGGTGTGAAACAGGGAAAGGTTGCCTGAGGGAGGAATGTACTTTGATCGGTTAAAACTGGATAAAGCCAGCTCTGGTTAAGTCCTAACCTGTTCCGCCTCACTGGAAATACTTGGCTCTGGGCCTCAACAGTGATGCTGTCCATCCCTAACTCATGGCTCTGGGTGGCTGTCCAGTGGAACTGGGTGCTGGTGGCACAATGGCATGTGGATGGCATGAGCTCACTTTCAGTGTCCCTTTAGTCCTGGTTTCTCCATGATTCTCGGTGGTTTTGGCATCATGGTGCAGATTCTAGAGCTCTGCATTTCCACGGCAACGAACTGGGTGTGGCTGGTTCAAACTAGCTGTGAATGATTTAAACCAGATGAAAGTGGTTCTTTCCGGATCTTATAGGCTCGCTCCTTTTAAGTCTTGATAAAACAGATTCGAACAGGTTACGACTGGCTCAAACTAGTTTAACCTGGGTTAAACTTGCCCTGCTTGTTCAGACTAGCCAGGTTGGATTTGATCAAACGGTTCATTTTACTCGAAGCAAGCCAGTTCAATCTCACTTGAACAGGGTCAGCTGATTCAAAAGCAATGCCACCTAATTTGAACCAACGCTGTAACATGCATGTTTAAGTCGCTGACCTCTACTTATCAGTGTAAATCCAGTGATAAACGTCTCACATTTGAGACATAATACTCAAAATGACTTCCTTCCTCATTATACCAACTTTTCAAGATTTATAATCATATGTACTTTTTCTAAATAGATTGCATTTATATATAAAGACTCCCGTACACTTTGGAAATCTTTTCTCAGCTTAGAACTGTTAGCAGGCACGTATACAAATGCCACTTGTGATGTTATCTCAATCCACTCTCCTCTAAGTTGGGACTAGACAGAGCTGTGAGCTGACGCTATGGCTTGTTCGGGTGCCCGTGTCTGCCCAGCGTCCCCCTCGGAGCACCCAGACCTCCTCACCTTGATCCTGCTTACTGCTTCCTGGGCCTGCATCATGCGCACATTTTTGGAGGGAGTTTTGTCTGAGAGCAGCTGGGTGGAGCCAAGGTAGTTGGCAGCAAAAATGATTCCATCGATCAAGTCTTCAGGGTCGCAAGGTCCAGGAACTGTAATACACAGAGCCACAGTGGTGAGTGAAGCCACCCTGGGGAGGGTCTCGATGAACCCCTGATGGTGCACCACCCTCCCCCACACCTCACTGCTGGCACAGGTGGGCCAGGTACCGAGGCCCCTGAGCAGGTGAGTACACCCGCTGGTCTGAGGCATCTCTCTGTGTCTGCCTTCACCCACCCCTCATTTTCAAATAGTAGGCACAGTTTCTTCCAGTAATTGACCCAAGCCATATATTGTAAGAAATGATGTGAATATTTACTTAAATACGAAACATAAAATCCAATGACAAAGGATATCGTTTCTCTTGTTAGACTCTGAGCTCTTTGGGGACAAGGACCATGTCATATTCATGTCTCTCTTGTGTCTTAGTGTCTGTCACCCAGTTGTTTGCCAGATAAATGCTTGGGTGAATACATGGCTTCTTATTAGAAAAGCTCATTTTACAGCAGTTCCTATTATTTGCTATTCATTCATATTTCCTTTCTCCATTCAATTCATAATGGAGAAAGCAAGTTTTATAAATCAGAAAAATAGGATATTTGTTTTAGAATGTCTGGATTCCTCTAATGGCCTCCAGCCCCAATTCTGCAAGGCAGATAACATTACCCCAAAGCCATGCCCCATGCTGCTGATCTTACTAACTCACAGGCTATCATGTTCCTGCTCTGTGTCCACATACAGATTAATTCCAAGGAAAAGCAAAATTTTCTGTTCTCATTGACCAGCCTTTTAAATTGAACCTGTGTTAAATATTTTAAGGGGGGAGGATCTGATTCTAACCACAATCACTTGAAAACCCTACTCAAAATTAAAACATGTTTAGGACTAACATACAACTTTCTAACAGGTTCACTAAGAAAGGTATTTTAATCTGCAGTTGAAATCTATGTATTTTCTTTGACTGGAATGCCATATCTGGGGAGACTAAAATATACATTTTCACCTACTGTCAAAACCTCAGGGCCTTAAATTAGATAACTTGAAACGGAAACAATTTGCTTTTTCCTCTTGGAGGACTAATCCGAAATGGGTTTTATCCCTAAACATCAAGCTCTTGAGCTTACACAGCTGCTTCCCAGGATAAGCTACTTATCAGGGCAACAGACTTAAAATAATCAATTTATTTTTCTAAACTAAGGTGGAGGTTGAAACAAAGAAAGTAAAAGTGCGGAACCTGAAAAATCTCGAGGCCTGGTGGGATGGATATGAAGAAGGAGGGAGTTTCTTAACTTCTGAAAACTTCCTAAGGTACCCTCATAGAATTTTGGAGGTTCACAAAAATGATGCAAATAATGTACAGGTTACTCGAGAAAGAAACCTGAGTAACTAAACCAAAACTATGAGCTTGTCCTGGGCTTCAAGCCTGGGGGGTTCATGAAGGTTGACGAATCCTGGTAACTCATTCCCAGGCAGTGGAACACACTGAATGTTCACCCACAGGATTCAAAGGCCAGAAGACCTTAAAGAGATGTCTAGGCTTTCTCTAGCCTCCAGAAAAGTCTCCTTCAAGGAAAAGGCCATCATCCACTCTGACAGAGCATCAGCACTGCCTCCAGCCAGAGAGTGATTCTGGGTGAATAAGAAATCGGTGCCCCCTTTGGATGGCATGATCTCAAGCTGGGGTGCAGAGCTGGGGCTGAATTTTGGCCCCACTAAGACTGTTGACTGGGTGCCCTTGTGCAGTGAACCGGCTGCATCACCATGTGTGGCAGCCCCGCAGAGAACACTGGTTCCAAGGGGGAGAACGGTGGAGTCAGCCAGCCAGTGCACAGCCTGGCTCTGCGTTGCTAACTGTGTGATCTTGGGCAAGGTTCTCACCCTCTCAATGCCTCAGTTCTCTCATGCACAACATGGGCATAACAGTAAACCCCCCTGCCCAATACTGATGTGAGGATTCAATTAGTTCTTACAAGGAAAGTGGCTTAGAACAGTACTTGGCAGAGTAAGTACTCAATATATGTTACTTACTAGCTCGTCCAAGCAATAGATGGGAATTACTGGGAAGGTATTTCTTATAAAAAGGACCCAAATTTCTCCCCTAGTTAAATTTCATTCCCACTTGAATTTTTCTTGATGAACGTAAGAGGTGCACTGGCTAAAAGTAAGGAGACCTGGGTTTCAGACCCAATGTGGCCCTTTCCAAGCTGTCTTGACACTGGGTAAAACCCACAGCTTCACCCCCTGCCCCCGGGGTCTTGATACCCATAACAAGCAAAGGCAGGGAGGAGGACTTTTGACAAGTTCCCAGCTATCGTACTTTCAGTCTAAGATACCAATACTGTTAACACTGTGAATAAGTGACTTTGTGGCCTTTCTTCCTCACTATTGTCTTATTATCTTAGTGCTTCCATTACCCCAAATGCTAAAAGATTCATGAATGACTCAGTGCTCAATATTTTTTTTTTCAGCTCTTACCTTCCACGTAGGTTGGGAATGAAGCCAAGCTTTTTCTTGACTGTAATTAAGACAAAGAGGTTTCAAAGAGGGCAGAGCGTGATGAAATATGCATTAACACAACCATCCATGCAACATGAAAAATAAATACATCACCAATCATTAACCAGTTGTTGAACATTTTGGGTTAGAGAAAGTGAAGTGTGGATAAACATATGCATTTATTAGTAAAGGTTACCTAAAACCCAGAACACTTCATTCATATTTTAGGTAATCTGAAAATCTTACATTTCACAATTAGAGAGGTTTCTGATGGCTTAAAAAAAATCCCGCAGACCAAAACCTGTAATCAGCAACAGCAGTAAAAAGGGCACAATTTGTGTCCTTAAGAATCTGCATTTCCATGTGAAAAACTCATTAGTAAAAGCATCAATATTATATGCTGAAATGAAGAATTCTCTTAGAGAATTTTATGTCTTTGCCACAGCGATCTCTCACTGTGCTAAAAATGTGTGCTAGAGGTTTTTGAAATCTCTTCCTTTCACCTCTTACAGATTTATATTAGTTGATAAATTCCATTATATAAATCATTACTGTGTGTTACCTTAAAATAAGAACACAACAAAGGAGCAATTAAAACACTCTGGAATTTATTCTATTAAGTAACACCTCAGAGCAAAGCTCAGTCTTCTAACAGCACAGTTGGAAGTGGAGTCAGTGTGCAGAAGGTTCTAGAACCTGCCAGGATGGCAGCTTACATGCTTGCTCTCAGAGGACCAAAACTTACCGTAGGCTCCTCTCACAGCAGATGTCCTCAACATAACTCTGAGTGAGATAAGAGTAGGAAATTCATTCCTGCTTCAACTAATAATAGAATCTATAGCTGCTGTGTCTGGGGCAGGGTGGTGCAAGCATTGTGAGACAGCAGAGAGCTAATATTAAAGACAAGAGTCCCTAAAATGGGTAAAATGCAAGGTTTGCATGGCCAAGATTTTCACTACTGAGGATCTACCAGGTTTTAGATGATCATTTAAATACACGCCTTTAAGAGAAAGGGTATCTAGCACTGCATAGCTGCTCAACTAGCCGACTTGAATAGATGGTATACTCTGGGGTGTCTGGGGGCTGGAAGAGAAAAGGGCTCTGGGTGGGGGTTGGGATGTCTCAGGGAGTAACTATATTCTAGCACTTTACACTGTGCTCTTTACTTGGAAGATGGGAATGGCAAAGAGATGATTAATTAGTTAATACTTGTGCAACTTTCTAAAAATAGTAGTATTGTTATGTGAAAAATTGGGGGCAGTTGAAGAAATACGGTGTTAAAACTCTAACTCAATTCAGGACAATGACAAGAATTCAACACTAATCACACAATACATCTCACGGGGCAGGCGTGCTCGCTGGGATGCAATGGCTCTTCACACCAAGGAGGGTGGGTTTCTTGTGCACCAGGAATAGAGGTTCCTGGCTGCTAACGCATTTATGGAAAACGCACACAAAGTGAAAGCCAGGATACGTGGATGGAGGAAAGAGAACTCTAATTTCTGCAGTGCTTTACCCAGGTGAGAAGACAGGCCTAGGTGAGGGCCAGCAGCTGAGTCTGTCTCATTCTGGTTGGTTTAAAGAAAAAAAAAAAAACTCCTAACTTTATGGTATACAGACGGAAGCTAGCTTCTTCATAAGGGATGAAAACTTTTAAATTATTATTTCCCAACTATCTCCCTTCACTTGACCCAAGTAGCTAGAGCTCTGGTGTAATGAGAGTTTACTTTGTTAAATCAAAATGGCTTAGCCTCCAGGCACATCCAAGAAGCCAATTAAGATTTTCTTAAACTATTAGGATACTTTTCTGAATGCTAATCTTGAAGACAGTGTACAGATTTTGGCAGAACCTACAAAAGAATTACTTCAGTCTATAGATCTAAAAGCTGCCATTTTATTTAGAGCTATAATGGAGGGCATTTGGTACATTCACTTATTTTCTATTCATGAACTCATGACTAGCTTTCTTTAGTCTCTGGGGTAGTAAATTTTTGAAAAAAAAAAGAGTTTTGTGAAATGAAAGAATCTATAATTATTGCACACAAGGAGGATTTTCATCATTATTTCTAAGGATATGCAGAAACATGTGCCAAGTCTTGTAGGAACTGAGAAACGAACAAATTTGCCTTGCTTATTATATCTGATGTATAATAAAATGCTGAATATTCAGATGTCTGATTAGCCCTTTGTCTTCTCACATGTGGATTGAGATGAACATCAGTTGACCCTTAACATTCAAGAATTAATAAATATAGTTGTACTCAAAAAGCCAAAGACTAACAAGGTCTGTGGGATTTTCCTGGGGGTCACACAAACCAAACCGTGTGAAGACCTTGGATGCGTGACAATCGGAATAAAGACAGACAAGCGACCCTGTCCACGCAGCCTGTGACTTGCAAGCACTTTCCACCCCAGGAGTGGCAGACCCTGGCGGTTAAGAGCATGGCCCCGAAGGAGCTCTGGATTTGAATTCTGGCTGACAATTTATGAGCTCTGTGACCTCAGGTAAGTTACTTAACCTTTAAGCTTCCTCACCTAACAAAGGAGGACAATGATATCTACCTCAAAAAATTATGTTAAGAATTAAATGAGATACTATTTGTGATTTGCTCAGTGCAGTGTCCGGAGCCCTGTAAAAGTTCAGGAAATGACAATGCTCATTACTATTATTCCACTGCAGGTGTCATTCTTTCCTTCTTATATTTGTTCTCACCTGTCCTTGTGCTATGACCAAAGTATGAAGCAAACTATGCAATGGCAGGACTAGCAGAAACTGTGACCCTGTCACTCCTGTTCCAATGGCCTGGGGTCTAAGGATCAACACCAGAGAAGGTCAAAGTATATTCCTCGTCGAAGTTCTAATGTTGGTGTCATTGCAGAGAAGGTCTCTCTATGTTAGTTTGGTTTGATATGAATATATTAACAAAAAAATACACTTCTCCCTTGCATAAATATTTAATGGCAAATATGTGCGTATTCAATGATACTTTAAGGGTAAATTTTAACTAAGACTCTCTTTAGAAGCGATCTGCCACTCAGGTTAAAACAGAGATTGTTTTCCTTCATTGCATTTAACATAAAATTATCAGCAAAAGGAGGGAAAATGAGACCATCATTCATTATGTGGTTTACCTCTTTAACACATCTCCTCAGTGTTGATTAGGAGCATCTATATTTAGAGTGAGCTGAGCCCACGCACAGATTATGGAACAGGCCAATATTTACCTGATGCTGCTGGTTCACAAGAAGGTGTGGATGACAGCCAGGTATAAAAAGGCATCAGGTACAGGAGAAGGCGGTGGCTCCCCTACCTGCCGTTTTCTAGCCCCAGAGACCTCACTAGGAGCAGGTAAGACTAGCCTCACTTAAACATTCTCCATAAGCAGGGCGACTACAGGACTTGTTGTCCAAAAGGGACTCGTTAGAGCTGCACTGTCCAGTAGTCCCAGCCACGTGCGATTATTTAAGTTACTTAACATGGAGTAAAATGAAAAATTCAGTTCCTCAGTCCCACTGGCCACATTTCCAGGGCTTAGCAGGCACATGAAGCTAGTGACTACCATACTGGATAGAAGCAGAACATTTCCATCACCATGGAAGTTCTGCCGGACAGCACTACTGTAGAAAGTGAGAAGGGGTGCTCACCAGGGGGGCTGCTTGGATACTAGGTGGGTACTGGAACCATGCCCCAGGTAAACCGAGGCACGTGGTCACCCTGTTCTTATGCAAGATATTTCACTTGGGCCTGAAATAGATAGGTGTTTAAGAAACCAACCCATTTTCCAAAGCACACAGCAACTGCAAATCCATGGTATCAGAAGGCACGTAATGCCACGAGGAAGGACGCTGGTACACGCAGCTTTTGGTGTCCAATGTTCAGTGCTGTCCAACAGAACTTTCTGCAATGATGCAAATGTTCTGTAATCTGCGCTGTCCAATACAGTAGCTACTAGTCACAGATGGCTACCGAGCACTTGAAATGTGGCTAGCGTGCTTAGGATGTGAATTTTTCATTTTATTCATTAATTAGACACCTGGGGCCAGTGGCTACCAACCTGGATGAACTGCACACCGGAGAGGAGAAATTGGAATTTTTCTCCCGAGGTTAACTTGGTCAGGAGCTCTGTAGGGAGCTGTATTAGAAAGCACAGAGCAATATTAGGATAAAACAAAATGGGCTGACAGCTTTGGACACAACACGGCACCCTACCTCTTTGTTTGTGGAGGCTTCCGTGGGGTCACTGGGGTGAAGAGGTGTACTCGATGACTCGGCACCCAGGGGTGAGGAACTGCCAGGAGATGGAGACTGGAACACAGCAAGAGGATAAACACAGTGAGAACCCGAGAGTCTCGGCGAACACCTGGCTGGGAGAGAGAAGCAAAGCAGAATCCAACCGCACAGACATTTCAGTGGGGAGAAAGCCTCTTTGGAGAGAAACTGCCAACCATACATAAAACACCTGCGGTTTTCAAGCTTGCTTTCTCAATTCCTGCCACACTTTTAAAGGAGCTTTTATAGCTCTGGGTCTTTTTTCCCTTTAGGCCAACTGTTGAAAGAAAATGTAGAAAAAGTTGAATATCAAACTTAAAATTCTAAATGAATAGAGCTAAGGGTATTACACAAACACGCTTAAAAAATTATTTTCTTACTGAAAGATGCAAACACCCAGGGTAAAAATGTCTTATAAAATCACCTGCCCAAGATGATAGGAATGGAAAAGCAAAAATTAAAATGCATATTTTTAAAGAGGCAGCTGGGGCTGATTTTGATGACTGGAAACCACACTACCTGTAATTTTCCTAGTCACTTCAGATTTTGGATATTTTGTCTGATTTCATGCACAGGCCATTGAACATGGAGAGAAATTTCAGCATTTCAGCATCCAAACAACCTACCCTTGGTTGAACAGTTCAAAAATCCTTTGTGAAATAGTATGTCTGAAAATAAGGCTTAGAAAAATAGGTTGAGGAAGAATGGCCCCTCTCGGGTATAGTATTGCCTCAGCTGATGGGGCCCCAGCTCCTTGTACCGCCAGGCCCTGCTCAAAGGGAATATGAAGCTCCCAGGTCGGCACGCACAGCAGGTGCCCCATAAATACCTGCTGAATGGATGACCCAATAAAGCAAGCAAGCACAGGGATGGGACTCATACAGGCCCTGAAAACACTCCCCAGCCGATACTCAAACAATTCTGTGTGCTCCTGAAATCTTGGGAGGTGAAGGGCATCTTCAGGTGCATTACAGGGAGGCTTAAGAATGCTGCAGCGATGGTCCCCCGGGAGTAAGCATGCACTGCTCCACAGTGTGTTGGTGCTGTTTGGCAGAAGGCATAAAACAGAGAACCCACACAAGGATATCTTCTCTCAGGAAGCGTGGGGATGTGAACTTGGGCAAAGAAAGTAAGATAACGCTAGTGCTTGCTTGAACTTGAGTCTGATTTCTTGACACTGGCTCTCTTGGGAAAGAAGAATGTTTCACATAGCAATGACATGGGGGGCGGGGTACACTCTGACAGACAAGGGGGACCTCAGTGAGCATTGTGTGAAATAATAAAAAAAGCAATGTTTTCCAAAAAGTCTAAATTACAGGAAATATAGGGGACACCAAATGCACAGAAAGATGATGCAGTGAGATTCACTATCATTCAGACCAAGAAGGTGTGCAATCCTACACCATTGCTTAAAGCCTGGATCTGTTTCCCGTGACCCTGTATACCTAATTCTGGGCAGCGAGGTGAGGACCAATGAGCTCCTTAAATACTCACATGCAGAAATCAGACTCTCTGCAGTAAAGCCAAGAGGGCAGGCACGGTAACAGCAACCATAAAGAACCCCAGGCCCCACAGCCCCTGGCCACAATAAAGCACCCCCGTGTGCCTTTAAAAAGAAACACACAGGATTTTTCATTCGGCACCCGAGAGAGCTGGTGGGTACTTACTGGTTTAGCTCTATGTTTGGCTTACTCAAAATTAAGGGAGTGAAGTCTTCAGGAGAATTTAATGCCTTTGAATTTTCCCAGTTTTTCAAATCTGAAGAGCTTCCTCAGGTATTTATGGCTCTATATTTTTGCCCCCAAGTAATTTCCTCTGTCACCAAGAATTTAAGGGTCTCTAGCCCCTGGGGAAGCTAGTGCAGCTGGATGTTCTTTAATTGCTTGGTTTTGAGGGCTGTGTAATGCTTTCATTTAAAATTATCTCCCAGAGTGTCTCACATTTCCTATTTCTCTATTGCTCCAAATCTTCTAAAAATGGATTCTTTACAACTTCGTGGGCACTGACGACCTTAGGATGATGTGGGAAGACAGGTTATCTGGACAATGAGCAGCAGTGCCGAGAGGGAGATCAGACCCCACAGCAAAGTGAGGTGACTATTGCTGGGCACCCGCCACGGGACGCCGGTGAGGAGGCACAAACGAGGCACTGCCCTCACAGGGGCTTCCTGGGACCCACACCAACCTCAACAGGGACCCCTTCCTCTCAGATAGCCGCGGCTCTAGCCTTCTGCACGTGCTCGAGTTCATTCACGGTCCCTTCCATTTGCACCTGCAATTAACCACCTCCACTTAGAGACCTCTCCCTCATTCCCTCCCATGTTCAATGCTCAATTCAAAAGCACTCATCTGGCTGAAGCCTTCTCAGACTCTATGCACAGTACACTGCTCTCTGATGGCATATGCCTGTTGTGTAATTATCTGTTCACGTGTACGTCCCTCCACCCCCAAGAGCTCTCAGGCAGTAGGAACCTTGTCTCATTAGTTTTCATCATCCAAGTGCCTACCCTTGGGTCTTGTAACCAGTAGGCGCTCAGTAAATGTTTGCTGAATAAATGATTTCAATATAGTTCTAGCTTTACAATGTTTTCCAACTTGCATGGGAAGCAGATACATTACAGATCCACCCACTGCTTTCTTTGATTATTTTCTAGCACCCTTCCGCTGCTGTGTGTTGAACACTCGATCTGCATTTTGAATTACAGAAATGGTCTTTGCCTGTGAAGATTCTAACCTGGGCTCTAGCGAAGCTCTTTTGAAGCAGAAAGCTCCGAACGAGAGAGGACCCCATCTGGTGGAAGCCTACAAATCGCCACACCATTGTTGAAATGTCAAGGGTGGACAAACACCTTCGGAATAGACACAGTGCCCGTGAAGGCTGAACAATGGTGTTAGTATTCAACTCATCTCAAATGTCTGTTTTGAAAGCCCTTTGCGCCTTACCTCCAACTTCTACCTTGATATACTCTTAAAAGCAGAGGAAAAACCAAAAGTTACATAATGCTTTTTTACTTTCAAAGAATATATTGGAGGCAAAATCTAGCCAATTGTGGTAGATATAATAGAAAAAGTAAAAATTACCACATATTTCTCTGTCTGGAGTCTCATGCCTTCTGGGCTACTGGATGGATATCCCCTATTAAACAATGGGACCATTTGCTTATGGGGGTGGGAAGCAAATGAGGGACTGGGAATTCACGAAGGTGAGTGCTGAACGTGGCTGTCTATCTAGGACGGAGCATTCGGAGATGCCTTATCCACAATTCCCTTCTCTACACAACTACAAGGGGTCTCCTTAAGCTCAACAACTTGGCTTCTGCAGATTATGTTCTAGCAGATTCTCCACAACTACGATCTAAATTTTACCATCGCAGCTCTGGGACGCCACAGAGCAGAGCTCTTAACCTGAAGACTTAGGTTCTTCAATGTCAAGACAAGAAATGGATTGTCCTGTCCACTGGCACTGAGCCAGAGGTGGCCTAGGGATGCAAAAGCATCCCAAAGGAAAGCTGATCATTTTCATTCTGACAGAACATCTCCTAGGAGCAAAGAATGCACAGCTGGTGGTCGGGGTGAGACAGGAAAATGGCTCCAGGGACTTCCAGGCTATGCTTGTAAGGGAGAAAAGGAGCACACAAATAATTATTATTCATTTATTCTTTCCGCAGACATCTCAGTGCCTACCTGTGTTCCTAACACTGGGCCACAGAACAAAGGGAAGGAGATATGTTTCCAGAGAATGGGAGGAGGCAGATTGTAAAGGCAGGGCCGTGGCAGGTGGCTGGGGCATTAATCTGTACAGTGGGGGCTTGGAGGGGAGGGTGTGTATTAGGCAGTGCTTCCTGGGGGAGGTGATGCTTCAGCTGAACCCTACAGACTGCAGCATTCACAGAGTGGGATGGGATAGGAAACGGAGGCCGGGAGGAGGAACAACACAGCTCTGGCAGGGCGGAGAGAGAGAGGCTGCAAAGCTGGGCAGCGAGTACCACCGGAGCCACCCTGAGGGTGACACAGGCTCTTGCCAAAAGCTCCTACTCTCTGTCAGGGGGTGTCTCTTTTCTGTGAGTCACTGACCTGCTGCTCTCAAAGAAGAAGCCCAGTGAAGGCACTTTGTAATGGTTTCCTGAGTTGAACGGGAAGATCTAAAGGAGTGAGGGATTGAGTTCCACTCTCAACCCTCTTCCCTTTCCCTTGATCCTTTTTTAATCCATGGAAGTCTGCAGGAAGGGAAGATGACAACTGGCCAAGTTGATGGGATGATCATGAGAACACCCTGAAGCTGGAGGTGAGGACCCCCTGCCTCTTTCCTTTAAGGACTGAGGCAGGACCTGAGAAAGCAAAGTCATGATTTGGAGAGGGGTACCGAGACACTGAAAGACTTCTGGAGAAATTCTAGTCAAGAGACACACAAAAAGTGAGTTCTGTCTGGGCCATTTGTTCATTTACCCCACCCTGAAGTGCTGACAGAGTCTGAGTAAGCCTAGATCCCTGCCTGCCCTCAAGGAGCTCCAGGTCTATCAGGGGAGCTAGAGCTATAGGTTACAAATATAGGGTGTCCTCTGTCAACAGTGGCCATTGTTTAAGTCCCTGCAGGAAAAGAAAAGTTGTAATGACACAAAAACAATCATGAATGAGCTGACTACTCACAATGTGCTATAGTTTGAGTGTGTCCCCAGAATTCATATGTTGGAAACTTGGTCCTTAATGTAGCAATGCTGAGAGGTAGGACCTCTGGGAGGTGACTAGGTCATGAGGGCTTTGCCTTCAAGAATGGATTAATCCATTCATGGATGAGCAGGTTATTGAGGGAGTGGGGCAGTCACCACAGAGTGGGTCTGTTATAAAAGCCAGTCTGCCGTCTCTCGTGAGGCCCTCACCATGTGATGCCCTGTGCCCTACCAGTAAGAAGGCCTGAACCAGAAGTGGCCTCTTGACCCTGGACTTCCCAGCCTCCAGAACTATAAGAAATAAAGTTCTTCGTAAATCACCCGGTCTCAGGTATTCAGTTACAGAAACAGAAAAGAGATGAAGACACAG